ATTTTATTTTTTTTCATAAAGTAAGTCAAAATAGGTAATGTAAACAGGTTTCCCTTCCCATGCAAATTCTGGCACAATTTGTTCTTGTCAGTGCTGTAGTTTTTTCATAATTGCAAAAGGTTGGGAGTCTTCCTGTTTTGCAATGTTTTTGTCTTACAAGCATTCCAGTAGATAGCTGTACATGTGTGAGCATGAAGGCCTGCTTACGTAATTAAACCTGCACATTCAGCAGAATTTATTTTCTTACAGCACCTTGATAAAATATTTAAGCACAGAGAACTTCAACAGAAACTGGTGGATGCCAAGTTGGAGCAGTCTCAGGAAATGATGAAGGAAGCCGAGGAGCGACATCAGAAAGAAAAGGAATATGTACCTATCCTTTTAATCTGTCTGTCTCTTACCTAACATTAGGTCAAAATGAGCCCTGCATGCTATTTCACTAATATATTGGTTCTTCAGGTCCAGGCTGGGTTATGGTAGCAGAAATGATTTTATTGCTACTGCCAACACTCAATGTAAAGGAAGCCTCTGAAAGGCTGCTTCCATTGCCATTTACAGATTTTGAAGCTAACTGCAGAGTGGTAGGTCAGAGCACAGACTGCTCTAGTTAACTCAGCATTACTACACAGTCGATTCATTGTGATGAGTCAGGTGATGCCATTAGTTTTCAAATGCCTCTGATATTTGATACTCCATCTCGCCACATGATAAATGAGCACATTTAAACAGTCAGAGAAGAGAACAAGAACATGGGATTAACATGAGATGGCTGAATGTTACTATCCCCTTAGTCTCAGACCCTCCCCAGGCATCCTCCTATGGGTGCGGTGGAGGGGGCTGCACTGATCTAATACTGTATGGCTTTCTCAAAGGCCAATTTGATGTTGAGATTCAATTTCACTACTATCCCATAACTGCACAGGATCTCTGCACTGATCGTGTGGCTGGAATACCCACTCCTGCTCAGCTTCACTCCCAGCTAAAAGCTGAGGGGGAAGAGGAACTGAGGGCTCTATGTGTGCACGTCTGCATGTCACTGCATGACAATTTTTGGTCCAGCTCAGTTATTTCCTTTCCCTGTCATGCGTATGTAAAGCTGAACCCCAAAATTTCATTCATGACCATTGATTCTTGGCAGGTTCAAATCCCAGGAAACATTTCCAAGAAATCCCTTGCAATGGCAAAGCAAATTTGGACTTACTTAACTGCTGTCACTGGGAGTTCTTCTACTGAGTACCAGATTTCAGATACTGGGGGAAAAAACCCAAACAAACAACAAAACCAAACAAACCACAAAAAACCCAAGCGAACAAAAAACCACCAAGAAAAACAACAGAAGAAAACTGACATATTCAGCTTTGTATCAATGATCTTTCTTACTGTGCGTCACAGAACATGAATTTTGGGGTTGCCTGTTGCCTGTGACTGGCTCTGTTTCTTTGTGTAGCTTATCCAGAACTGATATGCCCAGTTTTGGTATTTGAATTTCTTCTAAAGCAGTGAACGTCATTGCTATCTACATTTGGGAGTGGGAGATTTTCTTTGTGGCTTTGCTATGTATGACTAGCACCTATGAAATAACAGTTTTGAAAAGAAGCTACAAAGCCTTTAGGCAGTGGGTGTATAATGATATGCACCATGCACAAATAACATTTTTTTTATACTGTCCAAAGTAATGCTTAAAAACCCTGCCTTTGACGTAGGCTGGTGATGTATGGCTAGCATCACCTCAGAGCAAAGTAGATTTAGCTGAAGAACTGAAGTGACTGGACAAAAGCCATGCAATAAGTCAAGGCATAATTAGCAGTGTCATGATTCATCACAGGTAGCCCAGCACCCAGAGAGCTGGCCTACACTTGTCTCCCACCTTAATCCTATTGATGAGCTCTTAGTCCCACCCACCCAGCTATTGTGCTGATGTCTGTGGGAGTAATGTATATGTATCTGTATGTATGAAATCAAGGTGGTTTTGATGGAGTCCTCTCATTGCTAAATGTATTCCTCTCCAGCTCAGTAATATGCAAAGCCAGAGCCTTACTGCATTTCAGTATCCTGTCATCTGAGGGAACAGCTTTCAAAACCTTTCTCTCCATACCATTTTTACACCCCTGCGCATGACTTTTGCTGTAGGATTTTGCAGATGTCTTTAAACGATTTTAATTTTTATTGTTTAATCTATTTGATTACTTCTTGTAGGCTTATTTTGATGTCTTCCTAGGCAGTTCTTCCTTGTAGGAATCTTATATATAAAAAAACTTCTTTACCTCAGATGAGGAGAAATGTCCCCTCTTGCAGCCTCTGTACCTTACATCTCAGTAGTCAGGTCATCTCATTGCTTGTACAATCCAATCTACATGTGCAACAAAGAATACAATTCCCTACATAAGCAGCAATGTTTTATACTGTATGGCCTTCCCAAGGGGTCAATTTGACCTAAGGATTCAATTTTAGTATCATCTCATAACTGCTCAGCACTACTTGGACTTCCTCCCCATACCTTACATTGTTAGCACTTGTAATGCAAACTTCGATGTGCAATTAATTGCAGTTTAAATCCTCTGTGGCTTTCAAGTATATGACTGGAAGGTATTGATCAGATTTCTACATAGTTGGAACTTGCAGAGTCTTGCAGCAAAAAGGGAAGCTTGATTTTCACTGAGACAGTCCCTAGATCCATGTCATTAAATGGGAATGTATGTTCCTGGGGACTTGTTCTTTAAATCCTGAGCAAGATGTGACTGTCTGGGCCTGCAGCAGCTATCACTACTCTAATAATATAGTGTAACATCACTACACTCCACTGAACTGCTGCTTTGTAAACAGCACATGCAATATTTATTCATTTCTTTATACTCTGGCCTCCTCGTTACCGCTTCATAGGCTATTAATAAATGTATCAGTTCTCCTGACTTGTTTTCTCCCAGCTTGGTGTTTGCATATGACCTCAGGCTGCATAACAGCACATGCTAATTTAAGCAAGCCTCTCTGTGGCTTGCTTCCATTATAGAAGAGTTTATTAACTTTTGAACTTTTACTGGCTGCAGAAGCTATGTGGGTCAGTAAGAGAGAGTACAGGCAAAAGCAGCAACTTTTCTTAGCTTTCTCTGTCCATCTCTTGTGCTGTGGCAGAAGACATGGTGCAGGAGGTGGGACCTTTTCATTATCCCAGGCAGAGTGGGTATGAAGGTAACCTTAAGTTGAGATTTAAACAATACAGATAAAAGCCCATTTCTCTGAAGTAATAATTGGCCTATAGACTGGGTAGCTCTGAAGCTTTTCAAAGCACTTTTCACTAAATCATTCAAACCAGACAACCTATAATTTCTAAAAAAAAAAAAACCCCCCCAAAAAAAAGCAAAAGCAAAACAACAAAAATAAACCGAAACCCAAACAAGTAGACATTGAAGAAACACAATACTCAAAAATCCAGATTTCATCCAAACTTAAAAAAAAAAAAAGCCAAACTAATTCTTTGTGTGTGTGTAAAACATAGAAAAAACCCAAGAAAACAAATGCATGAACTGAGGCTCATTTAATCCAGTCCTACTCATACCATCTCCTTTTACTGGTCATGACACAACCTATTTGAAATTTTAGTCGTCAAGGTTTTGACTCAAGAATTTGACTCATCTCCACTGAATCAAGCATTAAATTAAATTCTCAAAATAAACATTAAGAGATAGATATAAAACACAATGTACTATTTCTTCATGAAATGCGTACTTGAGCTGTGTACATTCTGGTTTAGGTAACTGTAGATGGTAAAAATTCAGTGGGTCTAAATCAAAAGGACAAATTGATGGAAGAAATATTTCTCTAGAGCTTATATATATAACTATATTGGCAATAAGTCTAATTCAGATAGTCTTTGTGCCACAAATAGCTGTAGGGAGGGAATTCATTATGTTGTTCAGTCAGCATTTGTAGGGTACATTCTCAGCTCTTTTGCCAGGTGGTATTCAAGTAGCTTACATGTGTTATTTCCAGCAAAATGGTTAGAATAAAAGTTTTAACTAGGGATCAAACACATTTTCTGCATGTGGTTCTACTCACCTTTCACTTCCAATAGGAGAGTAGGATCTATTGATTTACACAGTACTTTTATTATCAATATATTTTCAGAGCCCAACAGAGGTGTTTTAAGCAGTACAATTTAATCCAACAGAAGAAAGTCCTGTGGTAAACTGATTTGTTTATATCTCATTTCTCAAGCTGTCATTAGCATTCTTTTTCTAAAATATACTTGGCCTAACCAGTAAAACCCTTTATAAATGTTTGGTGGATGATACACACATTTCTTTAACACTTCAGAAAATGTTTACTGCTTTCAGATTAAACCAATTGCTAGAATATTGCCACGCACTTTAGAAGTGCTGACTCAGAACTGCAGCCTGGAAAAGTCTCTGCACACCTCATTCCTACAATTCATTCAGCCTCGACCAACCCTCCCATCTGCAGCCTGCACTTCAGAATATCATTTTGCCAAATACCTTAAAGTAGGGAATCACATCTTCCCAGGAGAAGCCAGGGATGAAACTGCAGTCCCTCTTCTTGGGCTGCCTCCTTGACCTAAGTGAGGCATTTATCCACTGAGAACATGTCAATGCAAACGGAGCTCAAAGATAACAGACACCAGTAAGGGTATGACACTTACTATGCATTCTCTTCCTGAAAGCTCGCAGATTTTTTGAGGCACATTTGACTGTGACCATACCTGTATGCTAAGTCCTGATCATTAACGTAAAAGGGAGTTTGCCATTCGCTGGAAAGCAGGAATTTGGCCAGAGCTGTGCTGAAACGGAAGCACCAGAAAGTATTATAACCATTCTCTAGAAATCTGCTGAAGATATGGTTAAATTTCACACTTTCTAGAGCCCACTGTACTGCAACCTCATTCCAAGTAGGTTTTGAACTCGTGTTCAAATATGCCTTTGGAAATCAAATGCCCTGTTCCATGTCTCAGGATAGCACTGGATACTCTATCTTGCCTAACTCCTCTACATTCATCTAAGAGTTAGATCACTCCTTATCATGGTAGTAGTGACAAAAGCACAGGTAGCTGGAAGATGAGGATTTCCAAGTAATAAACTAGGGACCTAACAATTTTCTCTCTGTTGCCCAAAACACAGCTCCTGAACCAAGCTGCAGAATGGAAGCTCCAGGCCAAAATGTTAAAGGAGCAAGAGACTGTCCTGCAGGCACAGGTGACGTAGGAGAGGTGATTGCATGGTGTGCCTTTGTTTGCCCGTTTTTAACCCATGAGACATGTTCCAGGTAAAGTATCCATACTACATTCTATGTATTCCTTCTATCCTCATTCTACATCCCATAGGCTATTGCAAAGGAAACAGGTTATATTCAAGCCAACTGTAAGGTAATGCCCATACTGCAAATCATACTGGAGCACATGGGTTTTTTAGTCTGGAGAAGAGAAGGCTTCAGGGAGACCTTATAGCAGCCTTCCAGTACCTGAAGGGGGCTTATAAGAAATGTGGAGAGGGGCTTTATACCAGGACCTGTAGTGATAGGACAAGGGGTAATGGCTTTAAACCGAATGATGGTAGATTTGAATTAGATCCAAGGAAGAAAATCTTTACTGTGAGGGTGGTGAGATACTGGTACAGGTTGCCCAGAGAAGCTATGGCTGCCCCATCCCTCTGAGTGTTCAAGGCCAGGTTGGATGTGGCTTTGAGCAACCTGGTCGAGTGGAAGGTGTCCCTGCCCATGGCAGGGGGGTTGGAACTAGATTATCTTTAAGGTCCCTTCCAACCCAAACTATTCTATAATACTATGGTTTATGAGTGTTTAAAGTACTCATCTACATAACAATGTGCGTGCCTTGGCTTGATTATTCACCATAACTACCCTTCAGGCAGGTTCCTAATCCAGCAAAGCACTGGAGTACATAGATATCGTGAAACACATTTACCAAACTGGAGCTGATGTGGACTGCGGTGTGAAGGCAGCATTTTCATTAACTTCATCAGGAC